ATGGATGTTGATAAAAACTGTATTTTCTTGTCCATCCTCCTACATTTCTGGCAGCGGAGATAAACAACCCACCACAGAAACTGGAGAGAGCTCATCATGAAGCAACAGCTCATCATGAAACAACAGCTCATCATGAAGCAACAGCTCATCATGAAACAACAGCTCAGAGCTCATCATGAAACAACAGCTCATCATGAAACAACAGCTCAGAGCTCATCATGAAACAACAGCTCATCATGAAACAACAGCTCATCATGAAGCAACAGCTCATCATGAAACAACAGCTCAGAGCTCATCATGAAACAACAGCTCAGAGCTCATCATGAAACAACAGCTCATCATGAAACAACAGCTCAGAGCTCATCATGAAACAACAGCTCATCATGAAGCAACAGCTCATCATGAAACAACAGCTCAGAGCTCATCATGAAACAACAGCTCATCATGAAACAACAGCTCATCATGAAACAACAGCTCAGAGCTCATCATGAAACAACAGCTCAGAGCTCATCATGAAACAACAGCTCATCATGAAACAACAGCTCATCATGAAACAACAGCTCATCATGAAATAACAGCTCATCATGAAACAACAGCTCAGAGCTCATCATGAAGCAACAGCTCAGAGCTCATCATGAAGCAACAGCTCAGAGCTCATCATGAAACAACAGCTCAGAGCTCATCATGAAACAACAGCTCAGAGCTCATCATGAAATAACAGCTCAGAGCTCATAATGAAGCAACAGCTCAGAGCTCATCATGAAGCAACAGCTCAGAGCTCATCATGAAGCAACAGCTCAGAGCTCATCATGAAACAACAGCTCAGAGCTCATCATGAAACAACAGCTCAGAGCTCATCATGAAACAACAGCTCAGAGCTCATCATGAAGCAACAGCTCATCATGAAGCAACAGCTCAGAGCTCATCATGAAGCAACAGCTCAGAGCTCATCATGAAACAACAGCTCAGAGCTCATCATGAAATAACAGCTCAGAGCTCATCATGAAGCAACAGCTCAGAGCTCATCATGAAGCAATAGCTCAGAGCTCATCATGAGACGAGAGAGCTCTGTGCACCATTGAATGAGCTGGAGCCATCTGCATGTGTGAGTGTGTCTGCACGTTAAGCTCCTAGCCACGCCCATCTCAAGGCCACGCCCAGCTCCAGGCTCTGCTCAAGCCACGCCCAGCTCCAAGCCATGTATTGATTTGTAAACTGGCTGCTGTGGGCGTGGCAGCTCCTCCCAGCTCCAGGAGAGAAGGATCCAAGGTTATTCTGGTCTCCGTAGAAACCATTGCAGTTTGTCTGGAGACTTTAAACCATTCAAAGATGATTGTGATGGATTTAAAGGTTCAACATCTACAAATGTTTCCAGTAACATTCGACCTTGGTTTTCTGGACGTGACTAAAGCGTTTGACCCTAGTCACCATGGAAACCTCTTCACCATGAGTTAAAGGTGATATCTGCAACTTTCATTGTATTTATTCTTTATTTAGTTATTGACATGTTGGCACAGTGCACGTTCTTTAACTCTCTCTGGGTTTACATCTGTCCCACAGTCGCACACACACACACACACACACAGACACACACACACACACAGACACACACACACACACAGACACATACAGACTCACAGACACATACAGACTCACAGACACATACAGACTCACAGACACACAGACACACACACACACAGACACACACACAGACTCACACAGACACACACAGACAGACACACACAGACACACACACACACACAGACAGACACACACAGACAGACACACACAGACAGACACACACAGACACACACAGACAGACACACACAGACACACACAGACAGACACACACAGACAGACACACACACACAGACACAGACACAGACACACACAGACACACACAGACAGACACACACAGACACACACAAACACACACAGACTCACAGACACACACACACACACAGACACACACACAGACACACAGACACACAGACACACAGACACACAGACACACACAGAGACACACACAGAGACACACAGACACACACACACACAGACACACACACAAACTCACAGACACACAGACACACACACAGACACACTGACACACAGACACAGACACACACACACACACACAGACACACATCACCCTGAACTACTGCATGTGTTTTTAGTGGGAGGGGAAACTGGAACACCCGGAGGAAACCTACACAGACACGGGGAGAACATGCAAACTCCACAGGGAAAGACCTGGAGGTGGAATCAAACCCAGGACCTTCTTGGTGAAGCACTGCTGTTTGGATCGGGACCATTTTCTCTGCTCTGGTTCAGAGGGAACCTGCTCTTCTGTATTTACAAGTCATGGTTTTACATGTAAATATCTGGGTCTACAGCCTCGGTCCTGGGTCTACGGCCTCGGTCCTGGGTCTACAGCCTCGGTCCTGGGTCTACGGCCTCGGTCCTGGGTCTACAGCCTCAGTCCTGGGTCTACAGCCTCAGT